TTAAAATTGTAGTATCTGTTTTCATTTCCATGGGCCTATAAAAAATTGTCCCAAAAGCATTTTCCAGTACTCTCCGCGCCCAGTATTGTATTTTTCTTTTCTAGCGTCTGCTTTCGACTGTCTATATGGAAACGGTCTCATTAGGTAGGGTTTAAGGGCAAATCCTTCATCTCCAATCAAAACATGAGGGCACACCGTTTACTGCGATCGTTTCGCTTCGATATGAAAGTCCCTCAGATGTTCGCAGCGAATTTCGCGGGAATTATATCGCCACGAATATCGCAGCGGATTAATCGCGTTGGTTTGGAGGATCCTTAAGGGTAACAACGCACGAGCCGCGAACCTCGGCGGATGGCGGTCACGCGGATGCTAGTATGTGTAGGAATAATTGGCAGACAACTCACTGGCAACCGCGTAACCGTACGTTTGAGCGGACGACGGCATCGGACGCGGCCAACACGGAGACCGCGCGGTTCTGCGGTTCTTGACTTGTTCAGACTTGGTAGAGAGACCACTCACGACAACGTATGTTCGCGCGGTTTTATTATTGATAGATAGAGAATAATTTGATTAGTATTTTAAATTGCGCTTTTTGAGGATGTAAGAATGATGAGAGTGCTTAATGATGATAAATTGGGACCTTTATTTTATTTTAATCCTTTAAATGGTGTATCCATAGCTTGTTAATTTAATAAGGTAACATATTGATCTCTCTGTGTAACTTACCTTAATGTAACTAGAACTAGATTAACCATCTCAACTTCCCAAACTACGAGGTGCACTCCAATCTGAGAAAGAACGGGGGAGTTGTGGCTTTTGTCCGCAGCAGTCTTTCCTGCTCCAGGGATCTTTCTTTGGAATCAGACCGGAAGGACATTCTGTGGCTTCGCCTCAACTCCAAAACATCACCCAAATTTATTTGCTGCCTTTATCGCTCTCCCTCGAACCATAACTGGGATGACCTAGTCGAATACCTCGCCGTCCAGATCGACTTCCTGAACATCAATCACCCCGCTTCAGAGGTAGTTCTTCTCGGTGATTTCAATGCCCATAATGAGCTTTGGTTGGGCTCAAATAAGACCGATGCAGCAGGTCGTGCAGTCGAAGCGTTCGCTCTTACTCAAGGGCTGACCCAGCTGGTGACGAGCCCTACGTTTTTCCCCCGCGTCTCGTCACACGCCAGTAGCCTGCTCGATCTCTTTCTGACCACGCATCCTGCCCCTTACAGCACTGCCGTCCTGTCCCCCCTGGGTAACTCAGATCACGGTGTTGTGGAGGTTAGGTTTCGGTCAGAAGTCGCTGTGGCCGCAGAAACTCGCACAGGCCGCAAAACTTGGCATTACGGACATGCCGACTGGGAGGGGCTCAGAGACTTCTTCTCTAGCTTTCCTTGGAGAGATGTCTGTTTCACTGACGCGGATGCGTCGACTGTCTGTTCTTCAATAACCAAAATTATCCACGTCGGAATGGAGGAATACATCCCTCACACAGTGAAAGTTCCTAAACCAGGGTCCAACGGCTGGTTCAACAAATCGTGTGACACTGCTCGCCAGCAGAAGATCAAGGCCCACAGAACCTACTTACAAAACCCCACTGTAGAGAACAGACAAGCCGACGTCGAGTCCAGAAACAAATATAACGAAGCGGTTCGCAATGCCAAAACCCAGCATGATATAAAAGTTAGGCACAGGGTAATGTCGCAGCGCAATGGCAGTCGGTCTTTCTGGACGCTGGCCAAGCAGATTGAAAAGAACTTCTCACACAGTAGCCTTGCACCACTTACGTGTCAGGATGGAACTATTGTATTCGACTCAAAGGCCAAGGCGGAAGTGCCAGCCAAGATATTTGCTGCCAACTCCACCATGGACGTCCCCACCAACGCCCAAGTGCCGTCAATTCAAAGGGTTCCCCACACTATGCGGGAGGTAACATTCAGGCATAAGACCGTAAGACGAGTGCTCTTGTCGCTCGACATCAACAAAGCTTCTGGTCCGGACTTGATTCCTGCCATTGTACTGAAGAGATGTGCAGCTGAGCTTGCTCCAGTTCTTTCGCGTCTCTTCCAGATATCTTATGAATTCGGCACCTTCCCAGAAAACTGGAAATTTGCTCATGTTCAGCCCATCCCAAAAAAAGGATCTAAAACCGACCCTTACAACTACAGGCCTATAGCTCTGCTTTCTGTTATAAGTAAAGTGATGGAGAGGTGCATAAATCGCGAGCTTCTGGACTACCTCGAACGTCACAGCTTGATTAGCGACAGGCAGTACGGTTTCCGGCACCAACGATCCACAGGGGACCTCCTAGCTTACGTCACGCAACTGTGGAGTAAACTCATCCAGTCTCATGGTGAGGCTCATGTCGTTGCTCTTGACATCACGAAAGCGTTCGATCAGCTGTGGCACGCTGCCCTCTTGAGCAAACTTCCATCCTACGGCCTCCCAGAAAAGCTTTGCAGATGGGTGGCTGACATTATCTCTGGCCGCAAGATATCCGTCGTAATTGACGGATTCTCCTCTTCATTCCACAACGTCAACGCGGGTGTTCCCCAGGGATCGGTCTTGGCTCCAACACTGTTTCTCTTACATATCAACGACCTCCTTTCCTGCACGATCAACCCAATCCACAGCTTCGCTGATGACAGCACTCTACATGCAGGAATTCAGAGTGACAAGCCGATCTCTGCCGCTGAGCTGGAAAAAAGAAGACTAGCGACGACTTCTTCTCTGACAAGAGACCTGGAGGCTATCACTGCTTGGGGACGCAACAATCTTGTACAGTTCAATGCTTCCAAAACACAGTACTGTACTTTGACGAACAAAAAGCGTCCTAGCGCTCATACAGTTTCGATGGACGGTCGAGTCCTACCAAAGAGCCATTCATTTCGGCTGTTCGGAGTCCAGATCACCGAGGACCTGATCTGGCACGAACACATCTCTTCAATAGCTGCAGCTGCTGGGAAAAAGCTAGGCTGTTTGTTTAGGGCTAAGAAGTACTTTTCTCCGCATGACCTTCTCACTCTATACAAGGCCCAGATAAGGCCTAGCCTCGAGTATTGCTCACACATTTGGGGTGCTGCCGCCCCGACTACATTGTCCATGCTCGATGCTGTCCAGAGGAGGGCGGTCCGACTGATCGATGACTCTTCTCTAACAGACAGTCTCGGGACTCTTTCGCACCGGCGGGCCGTCGGCGATCTAGCTCTTTTCTATCGCTACACCAACGGGCTTTGCTCCTCAGAGCTCTCTTCCATGATGCCGCCGCGCGATGTGCCTGCCAGACAGACCCGCCTGACTTCGGCGTCCCATCCTAACCGTGTCAAACTTCGTACATCCAGAACTGGCCGATACGACCGCTCTTTTGTCCAGAGGGTGTCTAGATTGTGGAACAAACTACGGGAGGAAGCTTTTCCCAGTTCTACTAACCTTAGGCAGTTCAAAAATCGTATTAACAAAATTTCTTTGGGATCATCATAGCAGCCGCGGTGTTCCGGCATTTAGGCTTCTGCCTGCGCGGCTGTTTCGATATAAAAAAAAAAAAAAACTAGAAGCTTTTCTTCAAGACACACACATGGGCGGATGTTCGTAGTTACTCCAGTTATATTACTTTTGTTTTTTGTTCAGTAATTCATCAAAAGATGCCGTTGACATTCTTGTATAGTTGAAAAACTTATCTTCGTAGTTTCTCAACTCTCTCTACAATATTACGAAAGTTCCATTGGTGCTCCTTCTTTGGGGTAGAGGATAAATCCAATATTTTCGTTTACAACAACGTTTCCTTCGTTTTTTCGAAATAGATTTGTACCTAGCAACCAGCCATCCGCGACGGTTTCCTTAAGGCAATCCGCACTTCCCGCGGTACCGCTCATCCGCCTTCCACCGCGGTGCGCGACTCGTGCGTTGTTACCCTAACGCTTCCGAGCAACAACTTTATCCTTACCACTTCCAGGAAGTTCAAGGACTGGCTGCCGATTATCATCCTAGAGTTCAATTTTGTCAATGGCTTCTTCATCAAATCGCTGCACAACCAAATTTTTTACGCTATGTTTTATGGACCGATGAAGCCTCTTTCATAAGAAACGGTATTTTTAATGGTAGGAATAGCCACGTTTGGGACATATCTTCTACCGGAACGGTTAGCAGGACCTATTTACCTGCGTTTCTTGGAGGAAGTTCTTCCCGAACTTCTTGGAAATGGTCCATTGAAGGTTCGACAGCAAATGTGGTTTCAGCATGATGGAGCGCCGGCTTACTTTGCTGTACAAGTACGTGAGTATTTGGCTCAGCGGTTTGGGCACCGTTGGATTGCGAGAGGTGGAGCAGTTTCTTGGCCTCCTAGGTCACCCGATTTAACGTCGCTAGATTTTTTCCTCTAGAGACTTGTAAGGTCTTTGGTTTACCAAACTACAGAATAAATAGAGCAAGACTTAATTGGAGGAATTACAGCAGCATTTGAACTCATTCAAAACGAGTATCAAATTTTTAGTCAAGTCCGCCGAAATCATCTGCAACGTTTAAATCGGTGTATTGAGGTTGGAGGAAGACACCTTGAACAATTGTTGTGATGATATCATGTACAAAAGGCAAAAATGAAATGCATTAAATCCTATTTAGGCAATTCATCGATATGGGACCCTATACTCAAATATTTTCTACTGTTACACTGAACAACCCCTAGAAGTTTGATCCTTAGTTCTGAAACACCCTGTATAGATAAAATGAAGTACAACACAAACAACAATAGGAACAAAAAAACACTATGATGCATACACACACGGCAATAAATTAGAATCGAATAGAATCTACTAGGCCAGAGACTTACGTGCGATACACATACCAAGTGTTTAAGATTCGACTCTAACTATTGAGAACTCGGAAACGGTAAAAGTTAGGAAGCCCGTCTAATGGGACGAAGTGTTCAGGTAGCTAAGAAAGTGTCACTTAAAGGTTCGCAAGTCAGAGCATTTCCGGCATAGACGAAAAAAAAAATAATTATAGCCAAATTTATTTCTGTATTTCCTATCTGATTTGTAAAAAATTAATTAGATGTTCAAGTATTTTATGATATTTTTATAACAAACATTTCTGTGTATTTGCACATATTCATATACCATCACCCAGTGGCGGCACGTGGCAAAATAAAACAGGTGTTCTGCAAATCCGAACTTACCTATTTTTTATATGTCAGTTCGATCCTGCGCTCCTTCTTGGCAGGAAATTTGTCGATCACCTTCCCGTTGAAATTTTCCAAGGTCGAAATAAATTCCTTTTCAATGGACAGCATCGACAACGCTGTAAGGCGATCCTGGGTCATAGTATTTCGAAGAAAAGTCTTGATTCTTTTCAATGTTGAGAGATTTCGCTCAGCCTCTGATGTTGACATAGGAGTTCTAACAATAATTTCTAATAGCTTTTTTGTTTCTTTTAGTGTTTCCTCCAAACTATTTCGTTTCAAAAATTTCAAAAGGGACAGAGTTCCATGTAAATCTCGGCAATCATTCCGTGCATAAATAACAGGCAACTCTGTCTTTAAACGACTTTTTTCTAATTCGGGATAAGGCAAGCAGGTAGTTTCCAACTTGTCATCAGGAAACTTACCACAGTATTCTCCAAAGTGTTCGGGGAAAAAACGGGATGCGGCTACCAAATGATCTTTGAATTGAAATCTGTCATTTGCAGAATTCACTGTATTGTCGCATACTTCTAATGCAGCAAGTCGGTGATCGTGACTGCTATTATTACGTCGTCTCCTTTTGTTGCCTTGGGGTTCAGTGCAAATACTTTTGGCTTTATCTATTGTGTCATCAATTTTATTTCTCACATCGGCAATACATTTTTCAAAATTATCGATAGCCGTTTTAACTTGCGCTGGCTCGGTTTTTCTCTTCTGCAACTGGTTGAACAAGATGTCGACGTGAGGCATGACATGATGAAAAAATGTCAACCAAAACACGAAAACAGAATCGTTTAAAATACGGCGAATACCGCAAGCTGCCTTGAAAACGGTTTCATTAGTGAAATTTTCTTCTATGTATTCCTTGCATTCTCTGTTCTCAAACACTACATGTATTGTTCGAATATTAATATTCCAACGAGTTGTTGCTCCTTGTGAAATTTTTTTCCCCACAATTCTGTTCAGCACCTCTACGCGTTGAGGAGAATTATTAAAACATCCCGGAATATCTTTCAAATCCCCAAAGAAGACCCGAACTTGAGCATTTGCGGTAGCAGCTTGGGACATAATCAGGTTTAACTGATGCGCATCGCAATGCAGATAGTGAGCAAATGGATATCTTTGTTTAATTTTTGCCTGTACTCCAGCATTATGACCGCTCATTACCGCGGCTCTATCATAGCTTTGTGAAATCAGTTTGTTAGGGAAATTTCCTATTAATGGATCTACGACGCTCAAAGTATGTCTTGTGAGAGTATCAGCATCACATTTTTCGGGATTCACATAATTCCAAAAGCGTTCTACGTTTTCCCCGAAATATCCGTTGTTTCATCTGCTATTATCGCCAAATACAAGGCTCTGTTAATCTGTTTTATTATTTCTTCAAGACAAACTTCAAGAATACAATCCAGTAGATCGTTTTGAATTTCTTTCGAAGTTCCTTCAAATATTGAAGCATTTTTTATGTGTTCGCTTAAGGTTGTATCAAGCTCAGCAGAAAAATTAATCAGTCCACGAAATATTCCCGAGTTTTGGGAGCCCTCGGTTTCGTCATGGCCCCGTAGCGCCAATTCAAATGCTCCGCAAAATTTTATACCACCGATTATATTGATAGAACGTACCTGTTTTTTGTAACGGTATCATTATGCTGTTGTATACTTCTCCAATATGCTGAATCTAACTGAGCTCTGAAGTTAACAGTCCCCAATAAAGCCAATTCGATCGAATTATGAAGATGTGTTTTAGAGTTTTCATGCTTCTTAATTTTTTCACTCAGGTGCACTAAATCTGCAACACCTACCTCCGTCCAAGCTTTGTCACCGCCGAAAAGTATGCAAGGAAAGCAGAAAAGGGCATTATTCCTGTTGCACCCACAAATCCAGTCATTTCTGGCGCAAATCTCCCTGCTGAAATGCCGCGTATAGCCCTTGAACCGACTAACGCCCTGTGTTTCTATAAATATGTCAGGCAGCGGTCGACCTGACACCTTCAGCTCAATTTTTGCTTCAAATGTGTGTTTTCAGAATCGTTTCACGCTGCTAAGTCTGTAAACCACATCCATTGTCTTACACTACTCTTCTACACAGCCACAGTCAGTCAGTGAGTCACTAGTCACTCAAAGTAAGACCCACAATACCTAAATAAAAAATTGTTCGCATTCAAATTTTAAGCCACCTCACGCGACAAGACCAATATGCCAATGCCGAGGACCTAGCACCGACCGACCAATCAGATATCGTACTTCGCATTAGATCTGTACGGATCTGTATAAATTGCAGCACATTTGATCTTGTAGAGAGAGACAAAAGCAAGCGCGTGCGACTTGTGTCGAAGTAGTGCACATACCCTTTTCAAGTGGCCCATGAATAATGTTACGCTGCGGTCGCGACGAAAATGACAAGTACACAATTGGTCGATTATAATGCTAGTACAAAACAGACTCGACGCCGTGTCTTGCGGGGGCAGGCCGGTACTGTTTCTATTTGTGTGATAACATGGTAAATAAATAATGATCAAATACTACTGCCTTTTTCTGTTAAGACAAAAGTTTTGGCAGTTCTGCAGCTCTGCAGAAGTTAAGCCCCCTGCCATCAGCTCTTTCTGCAATTTCTGCCGTGGTTGATATCGTAAAGCAGCTTATTTACTGAATATTCGCAAGGTAAATAAGGGCTTTATGATTATTATTATAGTACGTCTTTAATGACTAATTCATTTGATATTCAAATGACCTTGAGGGTTATAGGCAAAACCGTGGACATTCTTAAAGGTAAATAAGGGCTTTATGATTATTATTACAGGACGTCTTTAATTACTAATTCATTTGACATTCAAACGACCTTGAGGGTTATCGGGAAGACCGTGGACATTCTTAACCCTTAATCGGAAAGGTGCCGTCTGTGAGACTGCGGCGTTTCTATACCTGAGCGTATCTTTTTTTATTGCACCTCTAACAGACGTAAAAACCCATCTAATCCATAAGCTATTAGTGACCATCGCCCACCCCCATTCACACGAGTCTAGCCAAAACGTGCCTTAAAATATGGACCAATTTTAGTTTGTTGCAGTCTGTCAGACGGCACGTTTCCGTTCCCGTTTGCTATTTGTGTTGCATAGGTGCGTTTGCGAGTATGGCGGGACCTTCTAAACGTGTACGATACGATGATCCGGAGTTCGAAGAAACCGTTCTAAAATGGTTTGAGGATGAAGGAAGTGACTTTAGTGATATAGACAGTGCCTCAGAAGACGAATACATGGAATCAGATCATACAAGTGATAGTGAGTTATCAGAAGACGGAGCCGAAGGAAATGAAGAGGATTTACCAGCTCAGAATTATTTCTATGGAAAAAATCGTCATAGGTGGAATATTTCGGAAGTTGTACCATCATCACGTACAAGGAAGCACAATATAGTCATTAAAGTACCAACTCTAAGAGGAAAAGCTCATGAATATGGAGAAGAAGCAGCTCCGTTGACGGTTTGGCAGCTTTTGTTCACTGACGACATGTTGGTACATATCGTTAAGTGGACCAATCACAAGCTCAAAGAAATGCGAAAGAGATACAAAAATCAAACCAGCAACCTAAACGTCACTGATTTAGTCGAAATAAAGGCACTATTGGGTCTCTTAGTATATACATCGGTGTTCAACAGCAACCACGAGAACATTGAAACACTTTTTGCCACCGATGGCTCTGGAAGAGATATATTCAGAGCTGTCATGAACATAAAACGATTTGGTATTCTCCTGTCAGCCTTAAGGTTTGATAACCCAGATGACAGGAATGAAAGAAAGAAGCTAGATCCAGTAGCACCAATATCTTTCATTTTTAATAGTTTTATAAAGAACTGTCAAGATGTGTACGGAGTTGGCCAGTCTGTCACTGTCGATGAAATGCTCGTGAGTTTCAGAGGAAGATGTCGATTTAAAATGTATATGCCTGCGAAACCTTGCAAATATATATACTGCGGTAAAGATTCCGATAGTTTCGAACTTCCTGAGGAACACAAGCGGTATTCCAAACCCACACAATCAGTTCTACGTCTCGCGAAGCCTCTGTTTGGAACTAATCGCAACATTACAGCGGACAACTGGTTTACGTCAATAGAATTAATGGATGTCCTATTGAAGAACAAACTGACCTATGTGAGTACAATGAAGAAAAATAAAAGAGAAATTCCTCCGGCATTTTTACCCAACAAATCAAGAGAAGTCGGATCAACAATGTACGGATTTCGAGAAGATTCCACTATTGTGTCTCATGTAAGCAAAAAAAATAAAGCCACAATACTCATATCTTCTATGCACCACAGAAAATATTGTGATCCGGAAACACAGAAACCGGAAATAATAGCCTATTACAATGCTAATAAAGGTGGAGTTGATTCTCTTGATGAAAAATGTTCGAAGAGTACCTCAAGTCGCCGTTCGCGTAGGTGGCCACTGGTTATTTTCTACCGACTATTGGATATATCGGTAGTGAACTCGTATATTTTACACCAGTGCTATAAGAAAAATGAATTGCAGAAGGAAAAATCGGTATTTGCTAAGATGTTGGCCGCTAACCTGGTCCGTGAGCATATGGAAAAGCGACTAGAGAGTCCCCGTTTACCTCGGGATTTGCGACTTACGATAAATCGCATCCTTGGCAAATGTGAACATCCAGCAACAGAAGCTGAAAATTTGGTTTTGGAAAAAAGGAAAGCCTGCTTTTTATGTCACCGAACGACCCATCGGATGACCAAATTTTTGTGTGTACAATGTAGGAAGCCTGTATGTCTTCAATGCTCCAAACCCAAATGTATTAGCTGCATAAATATAGGCAATGTTTGAGACTTGCAGTGAATTTTGATTGTGTTCTTTTTGTATTTATTGACTATAATATACTTTCCTTGTTCATTACTTAACTAGAAAATAGAAAAATATTGAGACTTTTCCATAGTTTTAATTTAGTTTCTGAATGTTGCAACAACAGCGTTATTTTTGTATGGTTTTAGCATAGTTAATAAAAATGTTTCTTTTATGTTCTTGTATCATTTTGAAATGAGCATTTTACGTATTAAACACATAAAATAAACATCCAGTATCAGTTTCAGCGAAGTTATTGCTTGCTTTTCGCCTTACTCTAATTTTTTGAACATCTAGAAGTTCGCAGTCTGAGAGACGGCATGTTTCCTTTTGTGTTCCAAAAATTCACGTTTCCTGTTAAGGGTTAAAGTATTCAAAATCTAGCCTGCTACAAGACGACCGTAGTGCCAACTGT